CCCGGGAAGCACCTGTCTGCACCTGGGACTTGATCGGGGCGTCGGAGGAAATGACCTTTGACAGATGCTTTTCAGGTGCCGTTTTCTACGCTGCAATGTCCCGTGTTGGGGCGTCGGAGTGGCATTTCCGAAGGAAGTAACGAAGTCAGTCCTTGAAGGCACCCTGCCTCCAATGGGCGAAATATTCTTAAAATGGGAGGTTTTGTTTCTTTAAGAAAAAACAAAAAACAAGAACACACGAACGTGGGGTGGTGTTTACCTGTCAAGAACACTCCTGTGGAGGTGCAGTTGTATGCGGTGAATGCTGAGGCTGTCGCTTCCTTTTTATTTTCTTTTTATTTGCTATACCCGTCTCTCTCTCTCTCTCTCTTTTTAAAAAATATTTATTGTTGAAAGTATTACTTATGCCCCTTGTCGTTTACTTTTAACTGTCGGTAAGAGGTAGTGAAGGGACTTTGCCTAAGAAAAAAATACCCAGGTAAAGGAGGTATGTGGCCGAGGAATGCACATTGGAAAACTATTTGCATTATTATTTTTTAAATTTTAATTTAAGATGAGAAACATCGATCAGCTGCCTCCTGCACACTCCCTACTTGGGGATGTGCCCGAAACCCAGGTACATTGCCCTTGACCGGAATCGAACCTGGGACCCTTGAGTCCGCAGGCCGACGCTCTATCCGCTGAGCCAAACCAGCTAGGGCAAGTTTTTATTTTTATATGTATTTTATTGATGTCAGAGAGGGAAGGAGAGAGAGAAACATCCATGATGAGAGAGAATCAGTGATCGGCTGCCTCCTGCACGCCCCCTACTGGGGATGGAGCTCACAACCCGGGCATGTGCCCCTGACCTGTAATTGAACCCTGACCCCCTGGTTCATAGGTCAAAGCTCAACCACTGAGCCTCAACAGCCAGGCTGATGTAGCTATATTCTATATACATATTTAAATATTCTTGAAATACCTTAAGCTAGGTACAAAAATGAGGATTTGCCGTATCCGATTTTTTAAAAATATATTTTTATTGATTTTTTTACAGAGAGGAAGGGAGAGGGATAGAGAGTTAGAAACATCGATGAGAGAGAAGCATCGATCAGCTGCCTCCTGCACACCCCCTACTGGGGATGGAGCCTGCAACTGAGGTACATGCCCTTGACCGGAATCGAACCCGGGACCCTTCAGTCCGAAGGCTGATGCTGTATCCACTGAAGCACACCGGCCAGGGCTGTATCCGATTTTTAACTTGTTTCTTTGGCTGCCCGTTGTGAAACCAGTCTCTGGTTGTCTTAGGGATTCCGATCTCAATTTCAAGACTGTGTGTGTTTTTTTCAATTAGGACTATTTCTACTGAGTAATAAATATTTCCTAAATAGGGAATGTATTGTTATGAAATGGTTATTAATTTAATCTTCTCAACACGCATGACAAATTTAGTTGTTATGAGAGCAAAATATGGGGATTCAATGCATAACTCTCTTTTTTAGTATCTGCAGTAGCTGCATGTGCTCACTGGCTTGCCTGGCAGTGCTGTCAGCGGTATTATAATCATTCACTGGTCCTTCTCCTCCTCAGAGATGGACCGATTCTGACAGGATGTAGTGCTGCCGCGTGCCCGATGGGATCTGCTCAGCCATGGCGTCCGAGCTCGGCAAGACCATCTCGGTGGCAAGGCTGGAGAAACACAAGAACTTGTTCTTAAACTACAGGAATCTCGACCACTTCCCGCTGGAGTTACTCAAAGGCGAAGGGCTCCAGTTCCTGGAGAGACTCTATATGAAAAGGAACTCGCTGACCACCTTGGTACAGTATTCTATTGCGTTCTTTTAAATTAAATAAAATCCTTTAGAACGTGGTTCTGACCAAGTTACACTTTCCACGTCTTAAGACAGACTGACATGGGTGTCCTCTCTTGTTGTGTGAACAGGTGCTATAAATCCACATCCAGAGGGTCCTCGTGAGCTGAGAATGTGTTACTTAAGACCCCGCAGTTGTGTGGTGACAGGAGGAGCCGTGTAGGAAAGCAAAATTCGCAAATGTTCCACTTACCAAACTGCCCCCATTCAAAACCCCTCTTTGCTTAGCCTGTGCCTGTGTCTTGGCCTGTGCCTTTTTTGTGTGCGTTAAGCTTCCTAGATGATCTTTTGGATGTTACAATACCTAATAGACCAATTAAAAGGTAAGGAAGAGTCCAGCTGGTGTGGCTCAATGGCTGAGCCTCTACCTAGGAACCAAGAGGTAACGGTTTGATTCCACGTCAGGACACATGCCCGGGTTGTGGGCTCGATCCCCAGTAGGGGGCGCGCAGGAGGCAGCCGATCCTTGATTCTCTCTCGTCATTGATGTTTTTCTCTCTCTCCTCCCTTCCTCTCTCTAAAATCAATAAAAAAATATGTTTTTTAAAAAAGTAAAGCAGAGAAAGACCAACAAAAATGACTTTTAAAAAAGAATGATTTGAAGATTAAAATATTAAGATGGGCGTTTGGGAAGCCTGATGTAGCCCTTTGAGTGTTTTGAAAAAAACAAAACACCTTTTTTATGATTGCACTGTGACAGTCAAATGATTTTGAATCCGACTATCATCCCATTTGTCAGAAAAAGTTTTGCCCCAAAAGCAACATCTGATTCACTCTTTGTATGTTCTAGGAATAAGCACATAGTTATCATTATAACCTAAATTTTATGACATAGAAGATTTTAGAAAACTATTTGTAATTATTTTCAAGAGAATGTTCAAATCAGATTTTTCATTCTCACTATTAAGAAATTTGGTCTGCATTTTAAATGGATTTGCTTTATATAAATTCGAGTTCTTACTCATTTTAGATCATTTATGGTGTCTTTTTTTGTGTGAATTGATCCATTCTTCATTCCCTTCTCTGTATTGGACTTTGCTAAATATCTGAATGTATATCTTATTGGCTTCCTATATATGGACTATTTTCCTGTAAAAGTTTTCTTGATCTATGTAAAATACCTACAAGGAGCAGAAAGCATTATAAAATTTGCTTGTATTTGCTGTTTCTGGAAGTAAATCGATATGTATCTTTCATTTATAGCGGTTAGCATATTGGTATGTATGTTATTTTGAGGGCATAGTTAGATTTTTAAAATAGATTTTTTTTTTTAGTATAAATCCTATGGATCAAGATAAACTAGTCTGTGTGGCATCCATAATCCAGCGAGTTTAGCAAGCAACCCAAAGAATAACTACAGTTTTTTAAATTGATTTTCAGGAAGAGGAAGGGAGAGAAAGAGTGAGAGAGAAAGAGGGAGAGAGAAAAGAGAGAAACATGGATTTGTTGCCTCCTGCATGCGCCCTGACTGGGACTCGAACCCGCCCACCACCCTTTGCTTTTTTAGTTATCAATTTATAGTTATCAAGTCTCTGACTTTATGTAAACCCTATGGAAACGTAAGAATTAAAATGTATAACTTTCCCCTCATTCCTTGGCTATATCGCTAACATGTGCCAGTAGGAAACAGAGAACAGTATCGTAGAACACCAGTAGGTGTCAGCCACAGGCTAGGCAACAGTCTGCTTGCTTACCAGGCTTTTGAGGCGGGGTCTAATAAGTGGAGTTTTCCCCCTAAATCCCAGTGTTGTAATAAATTGCAATTTTCCAAGGTCACCGTGCTTATTTAAAGATAAAAGCCCAGTGTACTTACTTGTTAATAAAGACACAGCAATGCACAGTTGGCAGCAGAAACTTTATTCACTACTCAGTTGTGTGTGTAGCTTTGTGACTCAAAATAAAACAACAACAACCCGACTAGCTTGTCAAGGAAAGATTAGAATGGATGTGCAGGAGCCAGGTGGGCACCTGGAAAAAAAGAATGACCCCCGGTCCTGTGAGTTAGCCAGGTAAGATGTTGCTATTGTAGCAGGCAGACCTAGATGAGAGTCGACATTGCCTGCTTTCTGGACAAGTTCTCTAGTTTTTCTAGGATTCTTTGTTGGGGTGCCAATACATGGAGGTGTATATCCTTCCTCTTCTTAGGGAAGATAACGGTGCGAATAGAAACATTTTGGGGGTTGGGACAGCCCCAGGAGTAACACCGGAGAAAAGACTTGTCGTGAAGGGCCTCATGGCAGACAGTGACAACGGAACCTGAGGGACAGAATCACAGCTCTTGGCATTTGGAAGCTAAAGGTGGTTTTATCAAGAGCAGGTTCTCGGTAAATGCTTCACTGACTTCGGAACAATGTTCACATGCAGCGCTATTGGGTCATCATAAAGGGTGAGGATGGGTGGATGGAAGCAGCTTGGGATACTGTGTTAAGTATTTGAATAGATCAGAATCCCAGTGTGACATTAACAATGTCACTTCCTTTTTTGTGGCGGTGGCTGCTAATCCCGAGAACATTTTTCCCATTGATTTTTTTTTTTAGAGAGAATGGAAGGGGTGGAGGGCTCGGTAAATGCTTCACTGACTTCGGAACAATGTTCACATGCAGCGCTATTGGGTCATCATAAAGGGCGAGGATGGGTGGATGGAAGCAGCTTGGGATACTGTGTTAAGTCTTTGAATAGATCAGA